CAGTTTCCTTTAAAGAGATTTGGGGTGGAGTCGTTGATGTCATCTTGCAAGCCAGGTCACCTGCTGGAGCTGGAGGAGACATGAATCTGGGAACAGGCTCCTGATGAGAAGAGAGAGCATGGTGAAGGTGAAGTTGGAAAAGGGTTGCAGACACACTGGAGGCGCAGATAGGCACAAGTGGCGGGCACTACTCTCTGATGGTCTTTAAATGCCTCGACACTCTACAGAGCAGAGGGAGTTGCTGGAAGGTAGAAAAGGCTGCCTATCTGAGCTACAGTTTACATGTGGACACCACTGGCCTGTCTGGAAAAGTGATGATATTTGCCTGCCTCCCTGTAGGAGTTGTAGGAATGTAATAAGCCCTCATACCTGTTAGGATTTTGACACTCTAAAGTGCATACAGAAACAGCTCTCCGTCACTCTTCTTGTTATGCCTAGATTGAGGAACCAGCAGAGTGAAACAATCATGGAATCCATTTAACACTTATGCATTCAGTTTCTCATGCATCAGACATTTTCTGAGGTTTCATTGAGTGCTCTGGCACTGTGCAAGTCCTGGGTGAGTACCATACCTTCCTTCATAGAGCACCTTCAGTGATAAAGAGAGAATGTAACACCAGCACTACACCCTGTGGGATCTCAGAGATAAGATGCCAGCTAACACGGGTGGGTGGGAGAAGCGTTAAGAAGTGTGTAAACAAAGAGACCATTCCTGAGATGAGTGGGAGCCAGGAGATCACAGTGAATGTTTCAGGCCAGGGTAGGGGAGGCTGGCATGTGAACAGTGGTGTGGGGAAGCAGGTGGAGTGGACATGAAACTCTTCAAGGCTTGTTGGAAATGGTGCAGGTGCTACATTTGTGAAGATGTATATGTGCCTGTGACTTGGTGTGCTCATAATAGACCTGTCCAGGGCCTGGGAGTGACGTAGGATTCACAACAGCTGCCTTCCTTTCAGTCCCTCCCTTGCCACACCGGGAAGCCTTCCATCTCAGAAGTACCTCAATCTGCCAGTAGTTTATTGGGAAAAGATCTCAAGAAATATCTACAGGGAGTGGGAAAATGGGAGAGGGATGGTCTGGGAGCCACATGGAGTATGTTGATGAACAACACCGATGCTCTGGGTGGTGGGGTGTAGGGTCTCTGAGAACTCAGGATGAGCACTGTTCTAGAACAAGTCTCCAAGTTGTCCCACCTGAGGACAAGGACCATGTTTATCCTTTCACCCTTGCTCCCCGTTGGTTCATGGCTGCCCCTGGACGTGTTAATTCCCAGCATGTCTAGTCTGTTGTGTACAGGGTGAAGGGTGCAATGAGTCTTTTCTGCAACAGAAAAAGTTTTGTAGGGGCTTTTGGCAACAAGCCACAACTGAAAAGGACCAGTAGGTGTGCAGGGAGTGTGGGCACTGCAGTCTCTCTCATGGGTTGAATTCCGTTGTCTCCTATGCTTGGTCAGTAAATCTCACAGTCCTGCTTTAGATACAAGAGGTTGAAAACAGGATTTGCAAGCAGAAATTAAATGCCTAGGATTGATGTTTGCAAATGAGTAATAGTATCCCTGTGGAAATGCATTATGTACTTGGAATCCTGTTGGGCCTTTACCTGTAGGCCCTTTACCTTGTAGGGCTTAGTCCAGAAAATCCCCATTCACTCTCAAGTCCAGTCCCAAAGTTCACTTTTCTATCAAGCTCTTTCCTGACTTCTATTTCCTGCTCTTTGCTGTGATAGCATGCTATACTAGCACTGAAATATCCTTACTATGTATGGCATGTCATGTTTCTCAGATGTGTTTGCTTCACGCACCTGCCAAGAGAAGTTATGATCATCGATGCTTACCAAGCACTTTGTATTTCAGGCACTTTCACATACTGTATTTCTTGTTTTAAAGGTTCATTTTAAGCTGTTTAAATTTGAAAGGCAGATGGTTAGAAAAAGGAGAAAGAGAGAGAGAGAGTTATTCCACTGGTTTATTTCCTAAATGGCTGTAAACAACCAGAGCTGAGTCAATGTGAAGGCAGGAGTTGGGAGCTGTTTCTGCATCTCTTCTGTGGGTGCAGGGCCCCAAGGTTTTGGGCCATCTGCCACTGCTTTCTCAGGCCACAGGCAGACAGCTGGATGGGAATAGGAGCAATTAGGTCATGAACTGGTATCCATATGGAATGCCAGAGCTACAGGCAGAGGATTAGTTTGCTAAGGCATGGTTCCTCCCCCTTACTTTATTTACTTGTACAAAACTGTCAGTGATCTTATGAAGTAGCTATATTTATCCTTTGCATTTATGATGAAAAACATTATGACAGAAAAGTTAAGCAATTACACAGATTCATGTGTTAATCAAATAACCAAACGAAGAATTTGGTTCCACCAGGTCAGTCTTCCAGGTTCCTAGTCTCATCACTGTGCAAATCACCTCTATTAGGCTGAAGCAGAGCAAGGAGTCAATGGCCTAAACTCTGGCTGTTTCTAGCAGTTTGGTATGGCCTCATGCCATGCAAGTAAACCTGGTTTGTAGGGATTCTTAAATATTTAAAATATAAAATTTATCTTTCAGAATGCTTACTTGTAAAGTGCATAGGACTGGTTGTTAGAGGGGAGACCAGGAACAGATGTAAAAAGCAAGGGGCCATGCAACAGTCCAGGGAAGAGGTGAAGTTCAGGATGGAGCCTCCTCTCTGCTCATCTCACAGGCGCTGCACCAGCCTCTCCCCAACCTGCAGGACTACCTTTGCACAGAAGTGGGGGGGTTACTGCACACCTGTAGCTGGCCCCCTGGCAGGGAGGTTGAAATGAGCCTGAGATGATTCTGCTCAATTGGAAGCCTCCTGCTCGTTTGCACAGAGAAGCTTTAAGGACAGGAAGAGATCCTGTCCACATGTACCATTCACTCCAAACAAAGATACACATGAATGACATACTCATACAAGTGTAGCAGTATACACTGCCCCGTGCTTTGAAGGTCAAGTCAGGGTATGTGGGTCTGTGTGTTGGCTGTTGGGGACTTACCTGCTCTGGGTTGCAGGGGGCTGCGGTAAGATCATGATTGATACAATATAGATTCCTTTTGAGCTAAGATGTGAGGAACAATCAGGAATTAACCAGGCAGAGAGAGTAGGGAAGCTCTGGGTCTGATGAGACAGATCTATGGGGTTGGTGGGAAGCTCAGTGGGGAGAGAAGGGCTGAGCATCACAGCAGGTGGAAGGAGTTTGAAGAACAAGGAGGATACCTGTGTGACATTCCAGGAGTGCGCTGCCAGGAATGTCTAAAAATGGGATGTTCTGACATAAGTGTGTGGTTCTGACATTCACTGTGCTTCCCTTCCCCAAGATTTCAGCAAAGTCCTCTGCACACAGTGACATGTGTGAATAGTTCTGAAGGTACCAGGGAAGACAGGTGAGTACTCAGAATGGCTCAGTGGAACAATGGGGAGAGCCTTCACCTGAAGGGATTCACAGTGAGGACAAGAGATCAGCAGAAGAAGGCAATAGTGAATCTATACCTTGAAGACACAGGATTTTATTGGCATCCAAATGTATTAGTGATTAGTGTGAAATGACAACCAAAACATTAAAGTGCCCATGATGAGAACAGGTGCAACTGGAAGAAGGAAGGGGCATTCCCACCTGGTGTCTGTGTCAGTGGAATGGTGCTGGGGTCTCATCCTAGGTACCTAACATTCAGTTATTTAGACTACAACCTAAGGTTCCCCCAAGTTAGCCACAGCTCAAAGAATGCGAAGAAAGTCCTTGAAGAACAGTGTTTATTGAACAGCTCTTACTTTATTGATACAAAGTCACTTGGGAGAGGTTCTTGGCCCCTTGAAGCACTCAGGCTAGGAAGGAGACACATACGGTTTGGAGTAATCAGTACAGTAATGGGACAGGAGTGAGACGTTAACCCAACGGGGACTTTAGGACAGCTTCCTGGTGAAGAGACTTTTAAAAGATTTGTTTATTTATTTCAAAGGCAGAGAGTTACAAAAGCAGTGGGGAGAGACAGCAACCCATCTGGCAGGGCTGGGAGCCAAGAGCTTCCTCTAGGTCTCCTGCATGAATGCAGGGGCTCAAGCATGTTGGTCTTCTGTTGCTTTCCTAGGCACATCAACAAGGGAGCCAGATAAGAAGCAGAGCAACTGAGACTCAAACTGACTTGTATGGTACGCTGGCAATACCAGCACTGTAGGCAACAACTGTCACCTGCTAAGCACAGTGTCCCAAGAAGGGACACTTAAATGTGGATGCCTAAGTAGAGGCTCCGAGGCTGGCCATGCTGCCCACTGCTGGGCTTAACCTGCAGTACAGAGTGGCGACTTATTTTCAGCAAGTCTCTGTACCAGTATAACCTGAGACTATAGGTTTTGTCTAATCTTGTGGTGTGACAGCAGTATGCATCCTGGAGTTTGAGACTAGGAGTAGACACAGTTTGAACAAATGACAGTCCTTTGTTCAAGAATCCCCCACCCACAATACCAGCTGCTACTATATGTAAATTCTATAGTTTTTGGGGTCTGACCATCACCATGTGGAGTCAGCAAGAAAAAACCCAAGGCCCTCATATGTGCTGCAAATAGTTCCCATGAATCTTGGAAGTAGAGTGGATACACAAGTAGAGAAAATGGGAAAATGGGAACATGTGAATTTTTTTTTTTTTTTTTTTTTTTTTTGCAAATCCTTGTATTATTTTCTACCCTCAGTGAAGGTTTCTAAGTAGTTTTCGCAGGAGGGTAGAAACGTGCTTTTGAGGTAGAAATGTAAGGAAATGTAATAGAGAGTTGGAGTCCCAAGGCCCAGGGTGAGTCCTGCTGTATGACCTTGAGCCAACCCAGTGCTCTCTCTGGACTTCCATTTCTCCACTTGTCAACTGAGCAGGTTGCAGGGGCTGCTTTTGAGGGGCTCAGCCTCTGTGGCTTCCAGTCTGGACAGCAGGAGGAAAGACAGCCTGTGTCCGTGGCTGACCAAGGCTGGGCTATGTTTCCCCTGTCTTGGTGATTGACAGGTCTATGGAGTCATGCAAAGTAGCCCCAGAGGAAGATGTTGATGGCCAGCAGGATCACGGCGTTGATGTCACAGATGCTCCTCCAGAGAGGCTCCTCCTCGATGCTGGTCAGCTTCTGTTCAAGGGCAGCCTTCTCTGATGGGCTCAGGTTCTGCTCTGGGTTCCCAGAGAGCCCACAGAACCAGCCCCAGAGCAGCTTTCCCAAGGATCTGCACGGGGCTGCAAAGGGGGAAAAAACAGAGGGGAAAGGGAGATGGAAGGATAGGCAAGGGAAGTAAAGAGAGAAAGGGAAGGAGAAATGATGAGAAATTAAGGAAGGGGTGAGAATGCCCAGGGGGTGAGGGATGCTTTCTGCAAAGCGCAGGCTGGGTGCTGAGTGTTAACTGCACACTGAGCTCCGACACTGGCTTCAGCCTCTGGGCAGATAGCAGAAGCATCTCGTTGCTACAAGGGTGCATGCCCGGGAGGGAGCATCACGCGATTCTCCCAGATTCAAAGCACACTTGAGCGATGTCTGACTCAGGACGGAGGGTACCTCTGTACCAGGCAGGGCCAGCTCTGCCTTCAGCTGGCCGAGGCCACACCCTAAGCACTCAGCTGCTGAGTGGCATGGTCTTTCTCAGCCAGATGCATCCATGACAAACACCCTGCCCTGCAGCAGGTGCCCCCATCGAATGGGGACAGAGGTTTCATAGCACTCAGCCACACTATGTATTCTGCTTCTGGAAGTCAGTGGTGGGAAGGTACAAGCTGACCCATTCCTCTCTCTCAGGGCACTGCCTGTGAGGCTCTTCCCTTCCTCTGTTCTCCTTCTCTTGGCAGCTGCCTCACCCAGTTTATTCTCATGTTGCTCTTTTCAAAAGCTCCAAGTTTTACAGGGCTTAGTACCTGGTTCACTAACCAATGTCGTGATAATCTTGTTGATGCTTGGAACTTTCCTTAATCAATCCAAGTTTGACACACCAAAAGCTGGAACTAAGATGTTGGCTGAGGCCCTGACGGAGCTCTGGTTGATCCCATGGCAGAAGGCAGCTGCTGGGGCACCCAGCCCACCCTCTCCCAGTGCTAAGACCTCCTCCCACTGAAGCAGGGCACAACCTCAGGACTTCAATTGTGTGGCATTTGCCGATCACAAGGGCAAGAAAAATTAATTTTGAACTTATTTAATGGTGTGATTTAACTTTCTGAATCTGAAAATTTTCCTAAAAATGTTATAATTGGAAAATCTCTATAATATCATTATCCATTGATACCTGCTATCATGTCCAGAATAGATACATTTTGTCCTATAATCAAATTCAGCTTTAGGTACTACATGGTCTTAAAGTAAATGTGATTAATGAGCAATTCTAACTCATTTAAGGATCTCTAGGAAGCAAAGCATGTGTGGCCTATCAGCAGCTGCAGGAGACACCATGGGCCTGGTGCCTGTGAGGGAACCTGGTGGAGGCAGACACGCTGCATGCATGCTCAGCTGCTCTTGACTTGTGAGGGTCAACCATGCTCCAGATAATGGTTAACTATAATTAATAATTAATAATTCTGGGCAGAGTTAGTAAGCCCGGTGCACAATACTCAGCAGGTGACACCTCTATCTTCCTGGGCACCCATTCAGCTCGGGGGGAAGAGGAGGGAGCAAAGGACTTTCCCTCTTGGTAGATTTGGGAAAGATGGAGGGGGAGTTCTAGCCTTAGCGACTCCTTCCTTCACAGACCTAAGCTGTGCCCAGGGCTGGATCGAGGGGTAACTGGACATGCGTCTGTCTGATGCTGGGGTTCAGTGCTAGGAAGCATGCTTCCCCATGAGTATAAACCAGATCGCTCATCCTATACCTTATCAGTAGTGAGGACAATATTTTCATTCCCACTTGTCTTTCTCATCTGTCTTTTTTTTTCCTCAAGTAGTTTTATATACTTATTTTAAAAAACGGAGGGAGAGTGATATTTAGGGGTCTTCCTCAGAGCCTAGCCCTAGTGGTCCCTGAATTGAGTCTTAGGAAGCCCAGCATGATGTCTGCCCATTGCCCTTCTGTGATGTGATTTCCCCTATCCCCTACCATGTGGTCCCAGCCTACCTCCCGGCTGCTCCTTGCTCTGGCTGGAGTTCTCTGCTGCTCCACTTCCACCATGGCACTCCTCCACTGGCCTCTCTGATCTCCCCAGAGAGCTCTCAAAGACCTCCTCTTGTAATCCAGGGTGGGGACACTCACGGGTCCACCAGGTCAGGCGAGCAAGCTGGAGGACAGCAAACACTGTTTAGAGTCTCTTGCCTTTGGAGAGAAGCTGCAGGCCAAGAGGGCAATCTGTGGAGTATTATTAACGCACCAGAAAGGAGCACCAGTAGTCAGGCCAGGGCTGGGAGCTGGCAGGCCCAGATCTGAACACTGATCTTGAAATAGGAACATTTTACGAGCACCTGCTCTATGCCAGACTTGTGCTGGGTGCTGGAATTCAGGCAGGAGTCAGGCAGGAGTCAGGCATGGGAGCTCACAGATGGGAAGAAATGAACCTGGACAGGGAGGCAAGTGCATGAAAGCAAAGTCTTAGAAAGTCGGCATCAGAGGAAATGCTTTAAAAGAAGTCTAAAGCATTGGAGAATGCTGGCAATGGAGAACCACCACAGATCTGAAAGGTCCTTTGGGGTGAAATAGAGGGTGGCAGCTATTGTAGAAATGATGTGAGAAATCCCAAAAGCTCCACACAACAGGTAGGAGGGTGCAGCCTAAGGAACACGAGGAGATAAAATCTACTGACCACAGTGATTGATGGAACACGCCAGATGAGTGGGCAGGGAGAAGTCACCTGCTCTGGAAGACTGTATGAGTGCTAGGACCCTTTCAGGGGACCAGGAGTAGGTTTTATCACTTGCAAAACAGAGGATTCGTTCGCAGAGTCCATGGAACCCAGGCGAGGAGAAGTAAAGCTGGGTCCCCTGCACGTTTCTGCTGGCTTGCCATCTTGTCGCATTTGGTAACTCCACAGAAGCAAACATGACCAGTTCTCTGGCTGGTGTCAGTGCTGGTGCACTCAGCTACAAGGTCCGAGCCATCTCCTTTCCAACAAGGCTCGTTGTGGTGTGTTGAACCAAGCATGTGCAGCTGTCCCTGGCTCAGGCGTCCCTCCTCCTGGGATCATGGAAGCGTGGACAGTTTGTCTACCTCTCTCCCAGAGCCTCACTCTACATTTGTGCTGTGTGGCTGCAACAACCTGTGAGTTGTGTCTCTGTGTCACCAGTGAGCGGTCAGATCTGGGGGAAGGTTTTAGTCTTCGGGGCAGAGGGTTGGAGATAGAGAATCAAGTATGATCTTTATGTAGAAAGTTGTTGAATTGAGATCCAGGGGCGCTGCGGAGTGAGAAGCATTGCAGGCCACGGGTGGGTTCCTACTTATAGTTAAGCCTGTGAAGAAGTCAGAAGAGAGATGAGAAGATAGCAAGAAATCAGAAGGGAGAACATCAAGGGAGAGAAATGAAGAGCACGTCGGGAGCAGGACGTGGTGAGTCGTGTCTGATTCCCCCTGAGAACCTGAGGAAGATGGAGGAATGCCCACTGATTTTATCAGCAAATTGTCAGTTGTCGGTGAGAGATCTGTGCTCGGGGTGGCAGCCAGGCCACCATGAACAGAGACGAGAGAAAAAGGCCAGAGGCAGGAAGTGGAGCCTGAGAAGGAGCCTTCCTTTGCAAAAGTCTGCTGGCGAGAGGAGAGGCAGTGGCGACTGAAGGAGAGCAGGTCCCAGGAGGGACTTGCACTGGGACAGACTGCAGCGCAAGTTGGGAGGAACTGGAATACCGGGGTGCAGGATGGAGCTTCCTAAGGCCGCGGTGAGTACCCTGCTTGCCACAGAGCTCAGTAAATCCACAGACACAGGGTCAGGCTGCAAACGCCAAGGCACCACACACAGGGGGCATTGCAGATGATTCCGACCCCCACAATCGGGGGGTGGGGGCACTGACCTCCACCATGGCCTTTGCTGTGGGCTCAATCATATCCCCCAAAACCCACAGGTTGACTCAGTACGTGGTTACATTTGGCAATGGAATCTTGAATTGATAAGATGCAGGCTAAGCGAGGTTAGAAGAGGGCCTGAGTCCGATGGTGGTTTTAAAAGTTAGGTGTCAGTCATGGGTGTGCTCAGGAAGGGCCACGGGGCCACGGAGAGAAGGCAGCTGCCACAAGGCCGAGGGCAGCTGTGCTGACAGCGGGGCCTCGGCCCTCTCAGGCTGTGGGGCCCCGATGCCTGTGGTTGAAGGCGCCCGGTCTGAGGCACTCAGCCAGGACAGTCCGGGCAGGCTCATGTGTGGTCTGAGGCAAAAGCAGCTCCCCACGCGGGGGTTCCCACCTAGATCGCTAAGACAGCGGAAGGTGAGGACCCCTTCACATGGCAGACTCAGCTTTCCCATGCGCTTATTGTCTAACAAAGAAATCCCTACTCCTTCAAGGCTCAATTTAAGGTGACCTTGTCAAACCAGGCTGGTCGTCAGGTTGTTCCCACTAGAGCTGGGGGCTGCACTCCTGCGTGGCCAGGGACCCTGTGGCGCCCCTCGCCTTGCCCCCGGACAGACACAGGTGGTGGCCATTCCGCGTTGGCGCCACAGCACAGAGCTGCTCAACTGGATGCACCACTTTCCACTTGGGGACTCCCAGCCCCATGGCCACAAAGACGGGGGACCCAACCCGTGGAAGGCCAGTTCCTGGCACTGGGCCCGGTGGGACGCACCACTTGCCTTTTCCTCAGGGATGGGGGCTGTGCAGAGGCTGACGGCTATGATGACGATGGCCGTGAGCCCGCACAGGAGCAGCGCGAAGTACAGGTAGTGGAAGTCCTTCAGCACCGCAGGTCTCCGGTCCACCTCCCCGCAGGCGGGGGCCGGCAGGGAGAACTCGAGGATCATGCGCACAAGCCCCACTCCCAGGCCAAACATGAGGCCCCAGAAAGCCCCCTGTGGAGAGACACAGAGTAAGCCGACCCCCATCCCCGCTTCGCCCAGGGAGCACCTGTCAGAGCTGAGACCGCAGAGTAGCGGGTGCTCTGTGCACAGCTAGAGTGGAGTAGAGTAAGCTTGGATAACACACAGAAAACACCAGGATCCCTTTCTCCTGTGTGCGTGTGTGTGTGTGTGTGTGGGGGGGGTGTTAGCACCTCTCCCGTCTTTCTTCACTTACAGCATCATTTAGCCCCAACCTGTACCTGTTCCCACCAGCTATGTAAGAGTCCGATGATGTCTATGTTAACAAATGAGGTGCTGGTCACTACTGCACAAGCCCCCAGAACTCAATGTGGAGGTTATGCTCTGTGCCACGTCTTCAGCAAGGAGAACAGAGCTCTACCCAGGGAGGACATGTGGCTTAGAGAGGCGATCAGAAGGAGGTGAGGTTGAGCTCTCTGCGTGTCCTTGTGCGCCTGTGGCATCACTGCCTGACGCGCAGCCTGTGGACTGGGGCCTGTCAGTCGGTCCTAGCACAGACCAGCTCTCCGGTCGTGGTCCCGCCAGCTTCCTCCGCAGCATCAGCTGTCAGCATGGCCATGGGAGTGACATGTGTGCAGGCACCCTGTGAGTTCACACTTGCCTGCCATCGCTGTCACTGCCGTCCTTTTGCTTACACACAGGACAGTGGAGCGCTGGAGATGGGGCAGACCCTGGAGAGCCTCCCGTCTGCTGTGTGCTCGCTCATGCTAGCCCTTGTGTCTGGAACGAACACGCTGGAACACTGCTCAGCTCAATGTCACTTCGCCCAGGACATCTTTCCTGACACCCTCCCTGGAGCCTCATGCCTTGCTTATTAGCTAGATCACCTCTGCCCCTGGGGGCTGGGTGACCTTTGTGAAAGCTGTACTACCGCACTCCTGGTGTGGCCGGAAGGGTGCATGAACGAATCTCGCTCTGACAGCGTGAGCAGAAGCTACAGGGCTCAGGCCATTTACAGACTGGGGCTCCAGACTCCAGGCCATCCACAGGCTCCAGACTCTGAGCCACAGGGACAGAAACAGGTGTGTGACTCACCGGCTCTGTGACCCGCTTGCAGAAGATGGCCAGCAGGAAGAGGGCAGTGATGGGAGGAGCAAGGTAGCTGGTGACAGACTGGATGTAGTCAAAGAGCTGCCCGCTGTTGGAGCTCTGGATGAGGGGGATCCAGAGGATGCTGACAACCACCAGGAACACCACAAACACCCTGCCAGGGAGAGCACAGCGCACTGCTGGCCTGGCACGAGCCAGGGAGGGTGAGGCACTGGGACCCAGAAGGGCAAAGAGCAGGGAAGGGGATGCATGGTCACGGAAACCGAGGTCAGAAGGCCAGAATCCCAGACACTAAGTTTCAGAAACCAAGGCTGCTGAAACCCCAGAACACCAGAACTTTAGAACCCCCAAACCCCAGAAGGCTAAGACCCTGGCATTTTCATGAGATGCTTTCAAGGTCATGGCATTCACCTGCTGCTCACAGCAGGCTCCACACCTTCCACCCAGCCAGGACAAGTCCTCTGCTCTCTGCTTCAGAAGCTTTTCCTTGTTTTTTAGGCCCCAACCCTGCATGGGGCAGTGCCCTTCTCCAGGCTCCTTCAGCTCTGACCTACTCTCCTTGACAATGACACTGTGCTTCAGAGAACAAATTTATCTTCTTATCCAGACTCCTCCTCAAATGATCTTGACCTGAGCCTAAACCCCAAAGTGTTCCTGAACTGCGATTTTTTTGGATTTTTTTTGCAGAAATTTGAACAGCTTTTTGCTGCAGGGCTTGATGCAATGATACAAATGGCCACTAGATGGAGCCCAAATCCCACTAATGGATCAGATAAGTGCCTGCCTGACTAAGCAACGTGCCAAGAGATAAGAACTGCTTCCCTTGCAATGTCTGCACACCTGTTCCTTGCCTCCCACTCTCTTTCCAGTCTCCACGAGCACAGTGGGAATCCATGTAGACTCCCTCTGCTCATGCCTCTCTTCTTGCTCAGATCTTAGCTGGTCACTCCCAGTTGAGCAGGCAGCTGGGACTCTTTCAGGGTACTGATGAAGGGAAGGTGGGGGCAAAGGCAGGGATCTAATCTACAGGTTGTGTGTATGTGAGTGGGGGGAATGATGAGATAAGCAATCCTTGTCCAGGGGCTGTGTTAGCTACCAAGCAAAGATCTCAGAGGGCTCCTCTACCCCATGGAGACTCAACGGATCTTCCTAAGGACACTGTAGAGAAACGGTCCTGCCCAGCCAGGGCCCTTTAGCCACCATCTCCAGAGTGGAGGAGAGGAGAAACAGAGGAAAAGAGTGCTCATCCTGCAGGGAGGAGCAGCCTGGAGGGAGTGAAGCAAGGGCCAGCGCACCTGCCCACCACCATCAGCTCCTGCTCCGTGGCCTTCCTGCGGAGACGCCGCCATATGTCGATGGCAAACAACGTGCTGCTGCTGTTGAAGGTGGAGGTGAGCGAGCTCATGAGGGCGGCCATCATCACGGCGATCATCAGGCCCCGCAGACCTGGCAGAGAGGGGCTGTGAGCAGGCAGCCGGCTCTTAGCACTGGCTCGCAGCATCACTCAGGGCCAAGAGTTTGGAGTGAGGAAGCCTGCAGAGAGTCCTGGGGTGGGGGGCCCCCACCCTGCACAGATAAGCAATCCAACAATTGTGACTGTTAATAGTCAGTGTTGTGGTGTGGAGTGACTGCCCGGTTCTCGGAGGCAGAAACTGGGTGTTACTTGCTGTCAGGAAATGGCTATGGGAGTGCCAATGATTGCTGGGGCAGATCTGTATCCTCCTGGGCTTGCTTCTACCCCAAGAAGATGGGCCGGGGTGACCCCTGTTCAGACCCTTCACCCACCCGACTAGCACAGTTAGGAAACCTCTGTAACTGGGATGCTCACCCAAGGAAATGACTGCCACCCTTGGTACCATCAGTGTCCTGTCCCCTCCCTGCACCTTCTCCTGGTGACTCAACCCCTCTCCGTGATTGACGAGGTTAATTCCACCTCACAGAGGACTCACAGGTGGGTAGGAGTCAAACACAGGTCTGCTTGGTTATTCCTGGGATTCAGCTTCCCTCCCCTTTGGGAGATTTCCCCATCCTTGGCTCTTCCCAGGCTGAGTCACAGCCTAGTCACATCGCTTTATGCCCTCCACATAGCTGAGTTTTTGGAGACAGCAGGGTCCAGGCATAGGTGTTGGTCCCTCACCTGTACCTCGAGTACCTGCCAGCAACGTTGGTGCCTTCCCAGCACAGGTGCCACATGTGGCTGTATGCAGGTGCATGGTGGAGTGGGAGTATGGAGATATTTCTCTTCTCTCTTCCCACCCGCTGTTGGTATAATCCCTGCTGAGCATGGAGAAGGGAGGAGGTTCAAGGGGGAGATAGGACTCACCAATGGGCATAAGCTCCATGACCAACTTGGGGTAAGCAATATTGGAACATCCCACTCTGGCGCCACAGACCCTTTGGCAGATGTCAGGGTCCACGCAGCCCACCTCATCTGCAGAGAAAGCGGTAACAGTTAGAGCAGTGGGATCATGGGCCTTCTCAGCAGGAGTTGCTCTTCAGCTCCTGAAGATGCTGGCAGTGACCGTGAAGCCTGGGTGTTGGACAAGGTTTCTTGTGTTCTACCATGCAAACTTGGGAGTTCTTTGGGTATCAGGTCTTGTGCATTTTTAAGGATTTACTTATTTCTCTGGAAGAGAGAGAGAGAGAGGAGAAAGAGGAGAAATAGGAGAGAGGGAGACAGCTAGAGAGCAGGAGAAAAGGAGGGAGAAACACAGAGTTCTTCCGTCCACTGGTTCACTCCCCATGTGGCTGCATCAGCTGGAGCTGGGCCAAGCTCAACGTAGAACTCCATCCTGGTCTCCCACATGGTTGGCAGAGATTCAAGTACTTCTGCCCATGGTTGGCAGAGATTCAAGTGCTTCTGCCAGTTTCCTGTGCTTTCTCAAGCACATTAGCAGCAAGCAAAGTAATCAGGATGGAACCAGCACTCTGAGAAGGGATGCAGGCATCCCAAGCATTAGCTTAACTTGCAGTGCCACCATAACAACCCCCAGGCACTGCATGATGATAAACGCAAACAAACACCCTTGGGAGCTGCCAAGGACACCTTATGGAGTTTTCCGCACAAGGAATGGATGCAGGGTTTTAAGATGTAATTGTCATAAGCTTCTTGCACTAATGTGTGTGTGTGGGTTTGACCCACAAAACCCAGATCTGGCCTCTGCTCTCATCAGTAAAACAAGCCTTGGCTCTTGCCCAGCATTGCTCAGGGGCACCTTGTCCACCCCACTCCCTACCTCCCCAGAGCAGGGCGAACTCTCACCTGGGTACAGGGCCCGGCTGATCATGCCAGGCATGACGATGAAGAATGTGGGCATGATTTTCAGGTAGCCCCCTAGCACGGAGCCTCCCTTGGCATGGGACAGACTCTTGGCGGAGAGTGACCGCTGCACGATGACCTGAACAGGAGCACAGCCAGGGCGGGCGCTTGGTGAGCCCTGCCCTCCTGTCACCCACTGCCCTCCTTCAAGTCCAGGACAAGGCCCACCCCTCGGTGCCTCCGGTGCCCACCTTCTCTGTGCTTCCTGATGGGTTGGCCTGGGGGCATTACCTGGTCTGTGCACCAGCACCAGGTGGCCAGCACTGTAAGTCCAAAAATGAGACCTGGCCACGGGATGTCCCCGCTCACAGGGTCCCGAAGCATGTGGAAGGCGTCTGGCCGTGGGAGGTGACAGGTGGTATTGGGGACTGTGACATTAGGGATGGCCAGCCTGTACCGCTCTTGCAGGCCTGGGTACCAGCCCACCTCCTGAAAGCCTGTGGGAACAGACACGGTGAAGAAGACAGCTGTGTCACCCCACTGAGACCCCAGGTTTTCAGAAGATAGGACAAAGCTTTGAGCTGCGGGATCTTCCAGCAAAGCCACACCAGAGAGTAATTTGGGGTGAGAGGGAAGTGTCACCACTTGCTTACCCAGAAACATGAGGACCAGGGCTCCCACAACCATGATCAGCGTCTGCAGTGCGTCTGTGTAGATCACAGCCATGAGGCCCCCTGGGACCAAAGCAGAGGGCTCATTCATCAGCACCCACAGGGGCCTCCCTCTGCTTCCTGCCCCGGGCAAGGCCACATCAGGAGACCAGAGAAGCCACAGAGCCTTCTTGGTGGGTGAACTCTGGCTTCTTGCCTTTCCCACAGCCAGAGTTCCGGGTTGACCACAGCCAAGCCTTTACAGTTAGCTCTGCTCCTGGCAGGGTGCGGCTATAGCTATAGCTTCCTGTGGTCCAGTTTCCTGAGACCATCGTACTGTTAACTCCTGCAGTAACACACCCTTCTTTCTCTTAGTCTAAGCGAGTCTTTTCTGTACCGTCCTCTGGGCATGCCCAGCCTTGCACTACTGGTTTTAGAAGACAGGTGAAGGCAGGTTTGTTTCTGGGCTGTTCGTGGCAACTGTGGTTCAGATCACGGCCCCCTAACCTCTACCTTGCTGCCTTGTGTCTTTCAGGCATCTTCACTGGATCCATCTTCCCTTTCTGCCCGTTCGTGTCACTCAGCTTCCTCCAAGATGTCCTCTTGCTCTGGCACCTGTCTCAGCATGTCCCTCCAGCTCTGACTCTGCTTCGGGCATTGTCTTGGTGACTATGTCCAGCTGAAGCTTCCCTGCCTTCCTTTGCTTACTGTCAGTGTCTGCACGACACCGTGACCCACCCTCCAACCCACCTGCGATGGTGTAGACCGCTGTGACTACCAGCAGGATCACCGTGGAGAGATACAGGTCCCAGCCCAAAGCTATCTGGATGAACAGAGCTCCGGAGAAGATGTCAGTCTGCAGAGAGGGGGACCCACCAAGCCCAGTCACCCCAAGGCCCTTGGTGGGGAGCTATGGGAATGTTACTCACCAGTCCCACCCAGCAGTTCCCTCAGTCCTCAGCACCCAGTGGAGAGGCCGGGCCTTGAGTGTCATGATAAAATGCTTGGGCTCCCCCTCAGAGATGGGGGGGGACTACGGATACCTCACAGCCATCACAGCTTCTGGGTGCATGGAAACCAAGGACAGGTACCACATGCCACTGCCAGGTGTCTGTTGACCTAGGAGGGGTGTGGTGGGAAAGGAGCGGAAGGCAGGGGACATGAGGGGCAAACTGGAGGTGAGCAGAGCATGGGGCCCAGGAGTGGCTAACTGCTCCTCAGAAGAGCAGGGCCCACTCAGCTACTCAGGGCCCACTGACCAAGGACAACAGAGCCCGGTCCTGGCAGACTCTGAAGGCCTGGATGATGCTCATGGCAGGTGTTGTGAGAATTCCTGGGATGCAGCCTCTTCTAAGCCGACTTGGGGCTTTTCTCAGCATTGGTAGAACAAGGAGCCTGACGGTCATTTCCAGCCCTGGATATGACAACTGACTGACTCAGTTCCCTGTGGTATGTGGGGGCCCCAATGGGGACTGCTTGTGGACCTCTGACACAGCAGGGAGGGAGACCCTGTTGGGACCAGAGTGGGTGGGTCTGACCTTGACTTGCAGCTGCAGCTCCTTTGAGTAGAATTGGACCAGCCATGCAACCTGCCTAGCTCTGCTTTCTGAGTTTAGCTCAGAAAGTTTTTGCTCTTATTTTCTGACTCTAATTTTCCAGGTACTTAATAAACCTGTGGTTACTGAATGGAGAATCAATTGATGGAAAGATAAATGAACAAATGAGTGCTATGATTGTGAGTTTTTAAGCATAAAGACTTAGATTCACCTAACAAATGTACATCGTTGATCCTCGATTGCCCCACTAGTGAGGGCAGCCCGTATTGCAGCTGCGCACGGATCAGGCCTTGCTTTCTCACTCTGTCTGTGGCCCTCAGCTTCCCCTCAGCTGTGAGCCTCAGCCGTTCTCTCTGCTCGGTGCTTTCACTGAGAGCAGCAGGGATACCCACCGAGATCTTGGTGAAGATGTAGATGATGAGAGACAGAAGGGACAAGTACACCTGGATCCTCTGGCCTCCAAATCGCTTCCTTAAGTACTGTGGCATGGTGACCACGCCGGCTGCGATGTACACAGGGACGAAGACCCAGCCCAGGGCCAGGAGCAGCCAGGTTGCCTGAGGGAGGGAGCAGAAGAAGGTCTCCAGGTGGAGGGGCCGCCTCCCACCCAGAGGGGTGAGCCGTGGCCAGGGAGTGAGGGACTTGGGACTTCGTCAAAGTCCTTTTGTGTGACCTTGGATGCTCCCTCTGCTCCTCCCAGCCTTCATTTCCTCCTCTATAAAATGGGTTCCCAATTCATCCTGCAACCTCCCAAGCACCTCTAAGGTTCTGAGCACTGTAGCCAGGAGTTGGAGTGGGCTGGGACCTTCCCTTCCCAGGCCAGTTCAGCCTCCTTACATTCCACTCGAAGCCTCCCACGGCAAGGCCACTAGCAGCCCCTGTCCCGGCCAGACCAATGAACAAGCCACTGCCCACATTGCTGGACATCAGAGATGCTCCGATCTGCAAGGCACAGGTGGGGTCAAGGGTCAGGATTAATCAGAGTGATTTAAGAGACAAGCCTAAACAGCAAGGAGTGGGCATGGAACTGATGGTTGCAGGGTCTGAGCTGCTTCCTGGGCACTGAGTCGGTAATACAGTACCTCCCCACACATATTTGGAGGGAGGACTATTAGCAATCCTGATTCACAGAAGAAGGAGCAAACATGGCAAAAAGTGACAACGAACACAGTGGCTGCGTGTCACCTGGAGAGTGGGTGGCAAAGTGGGAAAGAAGGGAAGGCAAGGAGACCCCAATAGGAGGGGCTCTGAGTGTTGAGAAGGAAGGGGAAAGCAAGAGCTCCTAAGGGGCAGAATAGACTGCCCCACCCATCCTGCAGTCCCAGTTCCTGCAGGCTCCAGGGCAAGGACACAGGGAGCAGCCAGGACACCTATGAGTGGAGTTTTCTGCAGGAGGCAGTCAACTTGTCTGAGGTAGGGAAGGCAGTGGCAGCCAGTGCTGCAGCAGCGTTGAGCATCAGGCACGATCTTGATCAGGTGAATGGATTCAAACCCACACATTGCCTTTTGAGGCAGGTATTGTGATTATCCCCAATTTACTGATGACTGAGTTGAGATGCAGACCAGGAAGTTATTCAGATCCCACAACTAAGAAGCAGCAGAGGGAGGACTGAGCCCTGGTGTTTCAGGCGCTCAGCACTTGCTAAGCACTCAGCCACTTTTCCCTCCATTAGCAGGTGAGATCCTTGCCTGGGGAGGGAGAGAGGAGCTCCGGGGTGTGGGAAGATTCCTAGAGGAGTCCTTGAGAGCAGGACCGGGGCTTGGAAGGGAAGAGCTGTGTCCTGTATCAACTCAATAAAACTGCTTCCCCTCCTACAGCCTCAGCTTCTTCACTGTGAAATGTGAGGACTCATTTCTCCCCAACCTTCTGTTCTAGTGGTCCTGGGCAATAGAAACAAGACAGGAAATATGTTGATGAACTCAGGGAAGAGGCAGCAGTCTAGGGCAAAAGTGCAAAGTGAACAGAGGTGGATTGATGTCACGAAGGCACTTGTAATGCTGCTGACCCGACACATGCGTACACACATGTAAATGTTCTGCACGCACACATCAGGAGACACGGTCACACATGTGCTTATGCACAACTCAGACATACATGACCCTAACATACAGACAATGCACACCCAGTATTCATGAATGTGTATACATATGCATAGCCCACTAAAGCATGTTCACTCACACACATGTACATGCACTAACAATGCATCCCCAGCCACGGGCAGGGAAAGCAGTGAGAAGCAAGACAGGGTAGCGAAGAAGCAAGACGAAGGCTGGAAGCCTGAGTTTGTGAGTTTGAGTGCATGATTGCGAACTTGTGTGGGTGTGTGAATTTGTGAGCAAACACAGATGTGTGGCTGTAAGTTCCTTAGCATGTGAGTAGCTGTGTCGTGTCAGAACATGAGTGTTTACGTATGTGTGTGTGAGCGGGAGAGTGTGTATAAGAACTTGAGAGCATTATGAAAGTGCGTAAGAGTTCATGACGCAACGTGTAAGAATGTGTGAATGAGCGTGTGAGCGTCGAGTGTACAGAGAAGTGTGTGTGTGTCAGTGTGTGAGAACTTGCATGAGCGAGTGGAGAATGTTGTATGTATATGCGAGTGTGCATGTGGTGTGGGTGTGTGATTGTGAGAGTGTGCATATATGAGTTTGTGTGAAGGTGTATAAGGCTGGGTATATGCCACACTGAGAATGCACGAGTCTATGAGTGAGTCTGTGTGTGTCAGAGTGAGCTTGAGTGTGAATGAGTACATGAGAATGTAAGAGAATGCACTAGTTGAGTGTGCAAGCACACAAGTAGCATTTGAGTTTTGCACAGCCAGGTGTGCCTGGAGACAGCATCTATTACTGCTGGGTCTGATGGCCCCACAAATTCCTCGTGTTTTTGGAAGAGGAGTTGTCCGCAGCCTCCTGGGAGAGCCGAGTTAGCAAAGTCTTCAGGATCAATGCATTGGGTGTGTTGAAATTCCCCTCGGTTCCCCTCACTTACATCCTCTGTTTCTGACTTGTGCATCACCTTCTCAAGGAAGTCTCCCCAGCTTCATCCCAGGGAGCCAGGGATTCCTCCCAACTCCTGCAAGACCCTGGGTTTCTTCCAGCTCAGGTCTGATGGCATGGATTGTGCGTCCCTCTGTGACAGGGATACGACCAGCGGGGAAGGTTCCCAGGAGGTGACAGTCTGAAGTTTTTGTAAAAGGTCACTGGAGCTGCAGGTGGGTTAGCCAGGAGACCAGAAGAGAGGGCATGGATGCAGGAGGAAGAGAAGAGAGCAGAGCTACTAGGTTGGGAGGAGAGGAGAGAGATTAACTCACCGGCCACCAACTCATAGATCTTCCTGCCAAGAAGTAGCCGCCAATGGTCCCTCGGCTCGCACGGATGGACGACTGGGAAGAAAGTGGCAAGAGCTGAAGACCAGTGAGCCTCTCTCTGACCTCTGCCCTCTCCCACCCCGATGCCTGCCCCACAGCCAGGTACTATGGGGTACAGAGGGAAGGGTGAGGCAGGGCAAAGCCACCAGAGCTTTGGATTGTAGACGTGCCTTGAGAGCCACTGATGGAGTCTGGAACAGGAGAAACACGTAAGGGAAGGAGAAGGGGAATATTTGGAAAGAAACTTCTTTCCCCAGTGGGAGAATAATTAGTGACAAGGGACAGGTGAGGGTGCAGGGCCTGGTCTTGGTAAGTCACTGTTTGAACATTCCAGTGTCACCTCTTGGAGCCCATGTGAGCAGAGACAGTTCATTCCATAGAGGAGGATGGGAAGGAACTTGTCTAAAGTCACAGTGGAGTTGGTACTCTTCCCAACCAGCTGCCCCCCAGGAGCCAGCGGATATCTCTGTGCCCGACATACTTTCTTCTTTTTATAAAAACAATTTTAAAAAATATTTACTTATTTACTTATTTGAATGAGAGTTAAAAGGGGAGAGTTGGAGAGAGAGAGATGAGAGAGAGAGAGAGAGATTGATTCTTTATTTGCTAGTTCCCTTCTCTAATTTCTGCAACAGCCAGGGCTGGGCGAGGCAGAAACCAGACATCAGAAACTCTGCCCTGGACTCGCATGTGGGCACAGGGGCCCAAGCATTCAGACCATCTTCTGCTGCTTTCCCAGATCGTTAGTAGGGAGCTGAGAGGGAACTCTGTCCAGGCCTCCCATGTAGTGGCAGGGAACTGAGCACCTGAACTGTCATCTGCTTCCATCCTAGGGAAGAGGTGGGAAGCACAGCAGCTGGGACTCCAAGCAGGCCGGCCCATGCCTTGGTCGGGTGTAGGCATCTGAACAGTTCTGCCAAATGCCCACCCCTGGTTGTTCTTCCCAGCAGCCCTGGGAAGAAGGGACTATTATCTCTCTCTTCAGATGAGGACTTGAGGCTCCAAGAAGATCCTTGCCCTCCCCACAGTCTAGGCAGTGACTGCTGGGACTCAAGTCACAGTCTGCCCCAAAGAGAGTCTAAAGGTGCTGTTTTTCCTGCAGGACTGTGGGAGATCATCTCAGGTGTTTATGGCCTGCCAGCTGTGAGCTGGGCACGATGCCAGGGGCTTACAAGTATCTTGTTATGGAATGCTCCAGTTCCACAGTGTGGCCTGTGCTGTCCTTGTCCACATGGGGAAACTGAGGCACAACTAAGTCCTGCATATATCCAGAGCCCAACAGCTGTGAAATTTCAAGTTGGGATTTGAACTCAGAGCTCCCTGACCCTCTGGTGACAAACCCCCTTGAGCAATGGGGAACAGAGGCACCTGAGAGTCGGGTCTGGACCCTTCCCTGAGAGCACATGAGCTCCACTGCCTGGTCAGGGCACTAACTGGTGCAGGATGGTGGTGGGCAACGGGTCAGGTCTTTGCAGAGTGGGGAGTCTTGGATGAGGAAGAGGGCAGAAGTGAGGGCAGCCAGGCATGGGTGGGGCAGAGGCAGCAGGTGCATAAAGACAACAAGATAAGTAAGGAGGTAGGAGTCAGGGTGGTGGGATATACCAGACAGCTTCTTGCTCACAGTGTGATCTCGGGCAAGCCAGAGCCCGCAGTCTGCCCTTCTATAGAAGGAGGTCCTGCTTGAAGGCTCTTTGTGGAGCTGTGAGCATTCTGCCCACTCCCACACCCAGCCTCAGATGAGAAGCTGCCACTGTCTCTCTGCCAGCCTCTGCTTCCAGGCCACTCACCCAGATCCCCACGGCCAGGACGAACACAAAGTAGACGACGACAACCACGATGTCATAGGTGTGCAGGCTGACTCCAGGGCCCAGCGCTGACCGTGGAGCCGCCTCCAGCCTGTCCCCCGCCTCTGAAGCTCCAGGCCCCATTGTTGCTCGCTCCTGGCTCATCTGTGTGTCCGTCTCCTGCAGGCTGGACTTTGAGGCGCTCCCAGCTTCATTCCTTTCCTTTAATGATTAAACAGCCCCAGGCACTGTCAGCCTGGCACACAAAGTCCTCCTACCTGCCACCCTCAGCCCCTGCAGCATGCCTTCCCAACCCTTCTGCACCCACATAACCAGCTACAGTGTACATAATCAGTCACATGTGCTTGCCGGCTGCCAGAAGAGGAGGAAGGGAAGGAGGTAAGAAAGAAGCCCTGGAATCCCCAGGGCTGGGAGGGATTTCAGAAATCAAGGTGTTGCTCGTGTGGAGGGGAAACTGAGGCTTAGGGAAGGAAAGGAGGAGCTGAGCTTGGGCCCAGGCTCCCTTCCAGTCCATTCTCAGTGAGTGTCCTTCATCCAGTGGGAGGATGACAGGGGAAATGAGCAAAGCCCTGTCATCCTTTCAAGCATCACCGGGACTCGTGTCTGTCTATCTCAGCCTCCAAGGGGTCCTGTCCCTTTGCACAGAGTGGGAAACTCAGGCTGGGAAAGGGATAGAAACCAGAGCCTTTGGTGATGAGGCAAGGCCAGAATTCATCTCTGCTGATGCTTGGCCCACACTTCCTACCTTGTGCTGTGACAGCTAGAATATCTGGGATTACTGATCCTTTCCCCAAAAACAATTCAGAGTCCCATCTGCTGGACTCACACAGCCTGGCCTCCAGACCTCAGAGCATTTATCACCTTCCTACAGGTGACCTTGTGCGGGTAATTCAATGTCTCTCAACCAGGGAACCCCTACCAGTGTGGCCTACACTTGCTCGCCTCAGCACCTGTGGGGCTACTGTGACTTCCTGAGACGCTCTGCAGATCCTGAGTTTCTGCATGCCCCTGGAACTAGCACAAAGAGAGTGACACCAGCCAGCATCTCACTGAGGGGCCTGGATGCCAGACCTACAGACTTGACTGCTTGCTCACACGGTCCTTCCAGAGTGGCTGCATCAAAGGCATTTCAGTCTTCTGTCACTCCACAGGCACCTGCTGTGCACATAGGCCTGGACCCTGGATCTGAGCAGCAGATAAAGGTGACCCACTGCCCTGTCCAACCTCCCAGCATCCTGTGAGGACCACAGAGTTGTATGTGGAGCCAGAACTCCTTATCTGTCCTTTTAGGAGAAAGGAAAATGAGAGACAGGATGCTGGCTTCTGTCCTGCCATCCTAACCCTGAAGATGAGGCACAGGCCACATGGAGCCTGAGGGTGCAGTGCTGACAGGCTGGCAGGGCTCATCAGGCTGTCATAACCATGAGGCTTAGACCCCAGAGAAGCAGAAAGGTTGATTGACGTCCCTACGGAGGATGTGCCCCTCACACACATTTAAAGGGAAGTAAGAATTTCCTAGATAAATAAGAGGGCTAGGGGGGACAAGCTGTGTTAGCCACGTCAGGAAGATGAGAAGAACCAGGTGCTTTGGATAGTCAGCCTGCTGGCCCTGCTTGGGGTGGTTGAGGGTGAGGCTGGCAAATCCTGAGACCAGAGGGGGAAAGAGGGAATGCCTGAGTTCGCTGCACTGAGGGTCTCTGAGTGAATCTATCTTCCAGAGAAAGGAAGAGAATTGGGGCACTGCAGTGGGGGAGATGACGGCTGATTCCTGTACCTTCTCCTTGTCTTCCCACCAGGACCCTAAAGTTTGCCCACAAATCCTGTCCTCTTACCACTTCTTCATAGGTGCTTGAGGGTAGGCCCCACCCCTTGCACCTTTCACTGAATACTACACCAGCAGAGTTGGACTCACAGTGGCTAGTCCTCAAGTGTGGCTAACAGCCAGGCATGCTATCCCCCGAATCAGCTCACGCTTATCAGGGAGCTTGTGGGTGCTGCTTGGGGTCTGTTTGTATTTGCTTCACTCAGGTCTTTGTTATTGGTGCTCCACAGAACAATGGAAACAGAAGCTTGACAGTGAAGGAGAGATAGGAAGGGACTGTGGAAGGAAATCAAGAATAATAGCTGATGAGTTAATGGTACAGAGAATGGCATTACAAGCAGAACAATCACCAAATACCCTGCCAAGATGGCCCAACAGTATTGCACAAGTATCAGACAGGGTAGACCCACTCCCAACCGTGGGCATTCTGGAAGAGAAGCCAAGAATTCATACTTGTGGATGCCCCAGAGCCAGTGAGGCCAGATGACTGTGGCTGTTCTGAGCTTCTAATATAGGAGGCACAGATTATGAAGTCCAGCCAGAAGGCATTTCTCATGAATGGCTAAACATTTTAGGTAGGTTTTGGTACTCAGAGGTGAGGTTCCAATTATAGAAAATTTTTCAAAAAGTGACAGGTGTTTCCATGCTGCCAATGTCACTAGGCAGACCCGCTCATGCACCCTGGGATGTCCCGAGGCAAGACACTGAGACACAGTGCATGTGTAATTACTCATGGGGCTCAGGGCACAGATCTTCAGCAAGAAGCAAACCAACGTCTAGCGACCCCTTCCTTCCTCTTAACTGAGCAACCCAGAGGACGGAGCAACCAAGTCCAGCTGAGGTACTTGAAAAAGGTTTATGGAGTGGGAAAGCTTTGAATAAAACCTTGAAATTGTATGAGGCCAATACAATGGCAGATTCCCATGAGGCCCCGAGATACAGCACACATAAGAACAAAAAAATTGGTTGTCTATTGTTTCTTGATTTCGAAGCTTACTATAAAGTTATAACAATCAAAACATTGTATAAAGAAATTCACATCGACCAGTAGAATAAAATAAAGAGCCCAGGAATAAAACCTCATATATCCTGTGAAATAATCACTGAGAAGCTGTCAGGGGGAGGGAAAGCAATTGCTGAAAAGCACTGTTGCTGGGGAACCTGGACATCCATGTGCAAACAGGAGAAGTTGTGGGATTGCTGTTTGGTGTAGCACGTGAGACACTGTTCATAAAAGATTGGGCAGTGATTTCTTGGCTACAACATAAAATCACAAGAAACAAGAGAAAACTAGATAAATTGGATTTCATCAAAATTTAAAACTTTTGTACATCAAAGGACATTGTCAGCAGGATGAAAAAGCAACCCACCAAAATCATGTTTAGAAGGTACCCGATAAAAGGTTGATATCCAGAGTATATACAATAAATCAAACAACCATATTGAAAACGGGCAGAGAACTTAACAGATAATTCTCCAAGGCAGTTAAACAGAGGTCAAGGTCCATGAAAGAAGCTTAATTGTTAGGAAAATATAAGTCAAAATTACAGTTACATACTGTTCAAACCATTGGGATTGTTATTCTAAAAAAACAGCAAAAAAATGCAAACATAAACACAACAGGAAGAAGCCAAAGTTTGCCTTCCCTCCAGTGTGCTTGGCTCTGAGCCCTGGTTCTCAGCTGCATTCCAGTTTCTTACGTTCACTCTGAGATTGGAGTGAGGAAGAAGTTCTGAATTCCTGCTCCCCACGTGGGAGGCCTGGATCGAGTTCCTGGCTCCTGGATTTGGCCTAGCCTAGGTTAGGCTTCTGGGGGGAATTTGGAAAATGAATCAGTGGATGGAGCTCTCTTCTAGGCATTTTTGTGGTAACTGTTATACATTGAATTTCTGTCTTGATTCCTGTTTCAGATAGTTTACTATTGGTGTATAGAAATATTATGTTGATTTTGTAACTAACTAGTTCACTGAAAAAACCTTTCAATAGCGAAAGCAGTCCTGAGAACAAAGCTGGGAGCATCACTTCACCTGACTTCAAAATGTACTACAAAGCAATAGTAACCAAAATAGCCTGGTGCTAGTGCAAAAATAGACATATAGGCCAATGGAACAGAATAGAGATCCCAGAAATATCCACATTCTTACAGCCAACTTATTCTTGACAAGGTGCCAAGGATATACACTGGGGGAAAGAAAAATCGTTTCAGTAAAAAAATGCTGAGAAAATTGGGTATTTGGATGTAGAATGAAATCAGACCACTATTTTTCATGATAAATGAAAGTAAACGCAAAATGGATGAGAGTTTTAAATGCAAGATCAGAAACCATTAAACTACTACAAGAAAATAAAAGGGAAGTGCCTCAGAACATTGGTCTGGGAAAAGATTTTTGTTTTTGATAAGACCTCAGAAACAGAGGCAAGAGAGGCAAACATGGACAAATGGAACTCTACAGAACTGAAAAGCTTCTACACAGCAAAGGAAACAGTCACGTCATGAAGGGACACAATGGCCAAGACAGGAAATCCACTTATGTGTTCATCAGCGGACAATGGAACAGTATTTGGCCATAAAGGAATAACATCCTACCATTTGCTACAAAATGGATGGAACCAAGTCATCCCATTAAGCGGAACTCATCAGGAACAGAAAATAAAAATTCCTGTGTGTCCTTCTTCGTACATGGAAAATAGAAATCCTCATATCACAGAAATAGAGTAGAAGCGTGGTTATGAGAATCTGAAAAAGGTGAGGGACAGGGAAATACTGGCTATGAGTTACAAAATTACAGTTAGATAAAGAGGAGTAAGTTCCAGTGTTTTATAGCACAGTAGGGTGTACTTACCAAATAACTGGAAGAGCATTCTGAGTGTCCTAACCACAAAGCAAAGACAACTCCTTGAGGTGACAGATGTGCCATTCATCACTTGATCATTACAGATTGTATTCATGTACACTGATATTGCATGGCATCCTACTAATGTGTACAATAATTGTGTGTCAAGTAAAAGAAAATGGTAAAAAGAAAATTGAGTCTAGGATCACTCTGAACTCAGAGTCCAGCTGACTCCACTTGTAATTCACAGTGAGTAGAACACCAGCTCCCACACTGACATCAAAGGCTTGGTCGTTTAGCCTCACGGTATGTTCTGGAAGCCAGAGGCCTGCTTACCTTGGCTCTGTTACCTCTCCTGTATCCTACCCCTCATCCTATTGTGTTGCCCTATCCCTCCCTACCTTCCCGTTGCTCCTGTCCCCGCCAGCATTCCTCAGCCAGCTGAACAGAGCTTCCTCGTGCTCAAGCTGTCCATGGGCAGACCCTCCACCAGCTGCCCTGGTCACCCTGCTGTCTCCTCAGCAGCTTCTCACAGAAAAGCTCTTCCTTTCCTAGTGCTTCTCAGGCTGGACTGGGACCCTCTTGGAACCTCTTTTCTGCTCCACTGCACTATGTGTAATTCCAGGAAGGTCCACACCCTTGTCACCTGCAGGTCATGTGTGTGCTGTGTCCTCTGTGACTGGTTCTTGGAAGTCATCTGGAATCCAGCCTGGGAACATCCAGTACCTCAGTGGAATCCTTGTTTATCTCCAAATGGGATGGTTAACTTGCCACAGGGCTGCCTTCCATTTGAGCCCCTCAAAGACAGGGACTTGGTAAACCTGTGCATCCAAGCCCCCTATAGAGGGAGTTGGAGACTGACAAGAATGAGGCAATTGGAACTGTGGTTCAGATAAGGCCGGACCCTTAGCTGAGGGGGTGAGGACCTCAGGGGGTCCTAGCTGGTCTTATTGAGCTCGATGCTTGCACAACTGCTAAGCTTCCTCCCCAGGTGAGACCCTGTCCCGCCTCTGGGTGGCCTTGCTCCTCAGGTGCATGTGTCTGCGAGTACTCATTCACTGCATGGGGCTCTGAGTGAAAACCAGCTGTGGGTCATTTCAGTCTCCTGCCCACAGGTCCCATCATTGGCACTGGCAAGGGCACCGTGGGAAGGCTTTGGCTACGTGAATGAAACCTTAATGGTACGATTCTCAGTATAAACATCCCCCACCTGAACAGTCCCAGAGCCTCAGACCCATGCCACAAGTACAACATCTGTCACTGGGACAGTCCCTGGAGCCCCAGACCCATGCCACAAATACAACATCTGTCACTGGGACAGTCCCTAGAGCCCCAGATCCAAGCCACGAGCACAACATCTGTCACTGGGACAGTCCCTGGAGCCCCAGAACCACGCCATGAAGCACAAACATCTGTCACTGGGACAGTCCCTGGAGCCCCAGACCCATGCCACAAGCCTCCACCACCAGGACAGTGCTGAAACCCAAGATCCACATCAAGACTGTTTGACGGGCAACATTGGTTTGGTTTTCTTGCCCAGGTTCTT